TTCCAGGCATATGCCTAATCCTGTTGCTGTCTTAGGTCAATGGTAGATTTTTATTTATTTATTTAGTTTCTTTAATGATACCAAGACTTCAATACACATTTGCAATGTCAGAAAGGTGTACAGGTTAATTTCCAGTTTGAATGGGGCTCCCATGCTTTTAACCACCTCCAGAACAAGTATTGCTTCCTTTATATGTAAAAAGATCTGAGGGTGGAAGGTTTGATTAACATCTGTCTGCTCAGTCAGCAGTGTTTTGTTTTCTGTTTGGGTTTTTGCTTTGTTTTTACTCAGTTTTGTGATTTCCCTGTGTATGCAGGAAAAGGTCTTATTTTGTGGTTTTGAAGTTATGGCCTTTGAAGAAGATGAAATTTCCCAGACTTTAGAGACAGCAGCCTCTTAGAGCCCTGTGGTCATTGATTTATCTGTGAACTGCATGTTGTGCTTAGGAAGAGACAGAGCAGGGTGGATTTGCCTGTCCAAGTAGAGTTCTGCTTTGGAGCTGGCTGTCAGTTTTCTTGGTAGTCACTGAAGAGAAACGGGTGTTGCAGGGCTATGACTCAGCTCATCCAAGGCTGTGTCCCTGTAACTGGCTGTGCTGATCATCAGAAACGATGTGGTCAAAGTTTCATCAGAGCAACATTCATGCCAGGGCTCAATATTTCACATTTATTTTACCACAGAACTCAATTAGCTGAAACTTACATGATTTCTATTTGATGTATGCATATTCCTCTTGAAAATAATATATTGATTACTGCTGTGTATCTTTCCACTGGCTAAATTCGGTGATTTATTTTTTTCTTCCTCTCATCATGTTGCTAGTTGAACAAGAGGAGAAAATGTGTGGATTAAGAGGTGTTTTATTTTTATTTTTTTTAAGAGATTAGGTGGCTGAGTGAATTAGGCTTTTCCAAATGAATATATAGCTTCTCAACTCAGTGCGAAACCACAGCTTGTCTATTCCTAACAAGTCAAGAATAACAGTCCTTTTCATATTAAAACAGTTGTTTTTATTTTACTTTCATGCTGGCAAATGAGGCTTCTGAAGCACTCTGAATTTGGGTAGAGTCTTCACTATTTCAAGTAGAGAGAAGTTTTTTGTTGCAGGAAGCTCTGCACGCTTCCAACTTGATCTTTGCTATAGCTGTCATTTTCAAGCGTGCCAAAAAAAACATAGTCTTTAAGGATAGTTTCAAGAGATTACTTTTTATCCATTAACCAGTTTTAGTGAACAAATGTTGGCAATATTACTCTTTTAGGATCTTTAGGATCAGTTTCTTCTAGGGAATGAAACCAGAGTGGAAGAATTGCTACCTCGTGTCTGTTTCCTGGAGGAAGGGAGGTTGGAAAGGAAAGCAGTAGTCTCCCACTGGAATCTTGGTCTGAGGTGAATAGTTAAATGACAGGTTCTTTGTTCTGCAGTGGGGCCTCTCTGACCTTCCACTTCCTGTTGAGTTGTGAAACGAAGAAGTAAACATTTAATTGAATGTGGCAGGCTGAGGCAGTTGGCCTTATTGTAGAAGAAATGTCAGTCCCTTTTCTCTCTGCATAAATTCTCTTTACTGGCAGCACTAATGGAGCTACAGTGGAAGAAAGGCAAGCCTTTAATTTGGTGAGTCCTACGTTCAGGCAGAAATAAAGGCAGTATGTTTGTTGGTCCCTGGAAGTGTTGTGTGTGCAGCAGGGTTGTTGAGGATTGCCCACAGTCAGATTCCTTTCAAAAGTATTTTGCTTATAGCATAGGAAATCATTTTGCAATGCTGAACTCTTCAAAGCTGCCATGGGGCTTGGTGGGAGATTGGATATGGCATAATTTTTTTGTACTGATGTCTTGGTTCCAGAGTGGAATTGCTAAGAGGTGTTCCTTGTACAAACACAAGAAATTCTTCCAACTGGTTTCCTTGAGCCCACAGCACTGCCATGACCGTGCATTTCTAGCTGAGGTAGGCCTCTTTAAAAGGTTCTCAGCATAAATAAAACCACGAGTTTGGTGTCCCTAACCATGGCAAGGGGGGTGGAATTAGATGATCCTTAAGGTCCCTTCCAACCCAAACCATTATATGATTTTAAAATGCTATAAATTTACCTGAACTTACTGTTCATCTGACTCAGATGGTAGGTAGTCCATTTACTTCTTCCATGTTTACCAGTGCATACTATCCTTCAACTGTGCTTTGTGATGACCTTTCATAATTTTGAAGCCTGCATAATCTCCTGCTGCAGAAGACTTGGATATTGCTCACGTACTACCAGTGACCCTTGTATATTTCCAGATATAGTTAATAAGAACATCTTGTTATGCCTTTAAAATAATGTCTGCTGTACCTGTAAGTAAATGTTACAAGCAGAAAGACAGTCTAGAGATGAATTAATTTTAACTCCCTTTTAGTGTTGAAGGCTCATCGTATTTAACACGTGTTTTAGCCTGGAGGGAAAGGAGCATTTGGTGCTGTGGAAGCAGTGGGTGTCCTGACAGGCAGTATGCTGCTGTATAAGATGTCAGCTTTTCCTGTAGTGCCCACAGCATCACTCAGGAAAGGATCTCCTCCCTCGAAAGATGCCATCTCCCTATGCACACTCCTCTCCTCCAGATCCTAAGTAGAAGACTTTTTTTTTTTTTTTTCCCTAACACTTCCTCAGTCTTTGTTAACTCTCTTATTATTGCTGAGATTTCCTGAGGCATTTGGAGCTTGTTGTTGACTGAAAGGAGAGCTGCTGTGGAGCAGCATGTATCAGAGCTCCAAGGATAGAGCCTGGTGTTGCCTGCCTGGGAGTACGGGGGTGCAAACGTGAATCACAAACTGCAGAACCAGGAAAGCAGTGACATCAGTGTAGTTATTTCTTGGATCGCTCTTAACCAGCAGCAGGTCAGCTGGTGGATGGTTGCAGCCTGAAGTGAAAGGTTAATTTGCCAACCAGCAAATAGATCCGAAAGTGAATATCTGCGTTTTGCCAGCATCTTGTAATGTTTCTGTGAAAAACGGTATCCAATTGCAGGTAATTGGTAGTGCTTCAGTTTCCTGTGGCAGCCTATGTATTCATGTTAGGTCAGATCAACTGCTTTATAAACATGGAAATGTGCTTAAAATCGCATGATCTTGCGACATGAAAGAACTTACAATGGTAGTAGGTCTCAAACACCAGATCTGTGAGGCTTTCTACCAAGCTGCATTAAGCAACAAAGCCTTGCCAGCAGGTTCAGAGAGATCACCCACCCAGCCACCAAGATGAACCCACCACCAAGATGACAAAGGGAGTGGAGCACCACTCCTGTGAGGAGAGGCTGAGAGTTGGGACTTTCCTCTTGACGAAGAGGAGGCTCATGGAGGACCTTTGCACCTAGAGGGAGGGTGCAAAAAAGATGAAACCATGTTCTCTGTAGTGGTTCTCAGTGCCCAGGATAAGAGGTGAACTGGAACACAAGAGGTTCTGTCTAAACATCAGGAAGCACTTCTGTACTGTGTGGATGATGGGATAGGGTTAGTCACCCATTTCTGCATGATTTGCATGATAAAATCTCAAAGAATGGAATAGAAACACATTTCATATGTAAAATAATTATCAAGTTTGTCCAGAATGTTCTATCTTTTATGTTGAAGTTCTAGAGACTTTTCTATAAGTTAGGTGGAGTAGAAAGGCAAAATTACCATCCTAAATGCTGTTTTCTGATTGTGTCCCAAATACATTAAGCTATATTGTTTCCTTAACATGAATGTTTTGGAATTAAAATTGTTTTTGCATTAAGTTCTGTAACTGCCCATGTCAGTGTTTCCTTTGCCACTAGAGAAGTTGTACTTGAAGCCCATAACTCACAATTTGTTTTGTCTCTTCATCTTTCCTCCCAAGGTCTCCCAGGTTCTTCCTGACTATTATAACTATTCATGTATTTTAGTAAACAATTTTCCATGGTGCAGACTTGCATGTATTTTAGCTGTTTCCTGGCTATTGTCTCCAAGCATTTAAGAGATGATTCTGCACCAGTATCCTATTGTACTGCTACTTTGTTTTACAGCACCACGTTCTCCCCACCTCATCTTCCCCTAGCTCAGCATTCATCTCTGAACAAAACCATGCAACTTTTGATACAGGTGCTCCGATCAGTCGATGGCTGTGGTGCATCTTTGACCAAATGCAGGGTGTCTGAGCATTTCTTAGGGCTGTTGGTGAAAATCTTGATGCCTGAGGCGTTCTGGGAAGCTAAACCAGTTTGGCAGGAGTGTGATGGCTTGGTCTGCCAGGCAGTGCATAAATAGCAGCTGCTTGCTCTTGGAATGACCTCCCTTTTTTTCCAGAAAGTGAGTCCCTTCTCCCCTGTTTTGGACTGATGTAGAGCTCTTAGTCCTGTGTTGTCCCGTTTTATATTCTTAGAGACTAGCTTTCTCTCGGACCTGTGAAGTTTCCTTATTGTTTAATGACTTGCAGAGGTTGAATGTCAGCAATTCGATCTTCTAACATCTCAGGACTCTGGACTGCTGATTCACAGATATTTTACCTTTGGTACTGATATCAATCTGAGTTGAGAATATACATCATCTTGCAGTTCTGAGAAATATTTACCTTTTCTGTATTACTGTTGGCAGATTTTACCCTATTTATATAGTAATGGCAATCCAATAATTACAGATGTTTTATAGATTGCTATGTTTGTTTTTTACTCTAATATATTTAAATAATTTTGATCATCTTTGCTGGAAACTTTTCCATCACTGCATCTTACTTCCATTATATATTTCCTAGCTGATTATATATAGTGGCTGCTATTTTCAATCTCCTTTCTGGGTTTCATTAAACTTGAATTCCCAACATTGTCGATGCCGTACAAAGGACAAGTATTTTCTAATTAAATTATCCTCTTTTGAACTAGCCTGACTTATAGGATCCAGTCAAGAAAGTATGTATCTTAACTATAACTTCTGATCACTGGAGATGCATCTTTTCCTGCCACAGGTATAGTTGGTAGCACAAGGTTTGCCTATGAACCTTTGTTTCTTGTTTTTCAGGTCAAAGGAATATACAGTCAGACTTTGCATGGCATGAGGCAGAAACAGGATTTTCTAGCAGGGTGAGTACTTGCAGAATCAGCAGGTTGATGATTTCTAATGACCAAGAATTCCAGAGACACTGCTTCCTAAATAAAAGCAAAGAGGGTCAGTAATCACTGAGTAAATTCTATTTCACTTCTGCCTGTTTAATAGATGGTTTCGGGGAGGAATTTAGGAAAGGTGCATTGCAGAATGATTTAATGTGAGCTCCTGTGGTGATCGTAAGGAGTACTAAAAGGGAGAGGTTCACAAATGGAGTTTTGAAGGAGCTATTTAAAATGATAATATGGCTAGGGGTTTAATGACGGTGTTCAGGAGAAGATTTTAAATAGAGATCATGTACTGAAGAATGTTTTTCTTTTTGAGTTCTCACTGTCTTTGACTTAAATTGTAATCTCTTTTCCATTTTGTGACCATTGCTAGATGTAGACTTCCAATCCCATTTTGGCTTTTTTGCTTCCGTATCTGAAGACATATGAGAAGTGCGTCTTTCATGAGTTTTGGATTTGCTGGTTTTTCATGCCATTTTCATTGAATGGCTGCAGGAATAGCTAGAAAAGACCTTGAGAAGTCAGAGTTCTGTTCTATCTCCATGGCCCGTGGCAGACTCTGATAACTCTGAACTGCTCTCAAGCATGCTGGCAGATGATCCTAAAAATCTGTGTTTGGCCTATGCAGTGTGTGTGTGATTTGGTGAATCTGGATGTCTGTCTGATTTTAAGGGAAAATATTTGATTTTTCAGACAGCAAGGGTTACTTAAGTTGGCATACAATACATGAAAAATGTATTTGCAGTCTTGCTGAGTGCCCTCAACAGGGCTCCACTATAAAAAGTGGAACAATAGTTTGTTTCTCTTTTGTATAAACCTAAACCCCTTGTATGTTTAGAAATAGGCAAGGTTTACATGTTTGCATAGACTAAGGGATATCTTGTACTTTTGCTTGCTTTTCATTATTCAGTAATAATTTCATGAAAAATTCTGGTACGTTAAATCAGTCCTGCAGTTTGGATTATCATTTTCTAAATCTAGGTTCACTTCACTCGTGCTTTCCTGTCAAGATAAATTTATTGAGATTAGAAGATCAATAAAGCAATTATATGTACACACCATAGGTTTGCACCCAGTAATCTGGAAAAAGATTTAAAACCTAATCCTGAAATTTTGCATACTTCAGTCAATGTTTTTATTATCAGGAACCAAAAGTGTTCTAAGTGATGTAATTTTTAAATTTTACACTTAAAATTTTCAGCAGCACATGACAGGAGTTGAGAAGGTTCATGATCTGACCCCAAATCCCAAACCCACACTCATCCAGAACACTAAGAATAAAACTTATTTGATTTATACTTACAGCTTTTTCCAAAACTCTTGAAGTATCATCTGACATTCTGGTAAAAATTGAACATTGATTTCAACAGAAATTCTATCTATTTTTTTCCATTCCCTGACCTCTGCCCTGGCTGGCAAAGGGACAATAGTCATAGGTTGTCCATATATTAGATACAACTGCAGTATTTAATTAATCAGCCAGTGATTTTGTTGTACTCTATATAGCTGACATCACACACAAAGTCCATTGTGCTAAGTGCTTTTCCCTACAGCCTTTGGGTTATGTATGGATGTAAAGGATGTGTTGCTCCATTCACGTACTTAGTCATTAAAAGCAAAACTTGAAAGGTTAAAGTTCACGTGCAGTCTAGGAAATTTTTCTGCAGGCCTTGAGTGAAAAGGAAGAATCCTGCTTTGACCCTTTTCCCTTCTGCAAGGGCTAGCAGAGGGGAAGGCTGCTGGTTTGAGTCAGCAGTGGAGATGCTGGGTCAGCCTCAGCTTTTTCTAGTCTGGGGTGGGGTGGTTTGGGGGGGGAATCCTGGGATCACTGATCACAAGGCAGGATGTGTCCTGGAGCAGGTATCAGACCAGAGAGAGAGAGAGCAGATTCCCTAGAGATATTGTGATGCAGATGGTTCCACGAGATCAGATTTGTGTTCCTTTTGGCCAAATTAGGCTTCAGCCTACTTTCAGTGATTTTATTTTCATGCCTTTAGATTTTTCTTCATGTGAGCTCTGGCTCTGCTGGAGAGCCACCTTCTGCAGCAGAAGCAATTACTTTCTCGTCAAGTCTAAAGTATTCGTTATAAAGCCCAGCAAGTTGTACCTACTTACAGTCCATGTTTATTGCAACCAAACTCTCTATGCTATGGTCTGTTGATGCATGAGAGAGATGTGCAGATCCATAATATAAGATCCACTCTGCTCTAGGATGATCAACAAGCACCACTTTATTGGCATCTTTTCCACTTGCCTCTTGGCTGAAGGAAAGAGATGGTATAATGCACAGTGATGCAGCAGATGTTTCAAAAGCCCTGTCAATTGGGAGATTACCTAAATTAGCGTATTGTAGAATGTCAGAAATACAAAAATAAATATCCATGTAAGGTTTGAATCTGCTATGAAAGTTTTGGGATTTAGATCTCACTGGGGTGGCCTCCTCTGTTACTGTTTTTGACCGCTCTTTTGGTTTTATTTGTTGGGTGCCTGTTCTGTACTAAAACAGTAGAGCAAGGAGCAGATCAGTAAGGAAAGTACAACTGGAAGATGCATTTGGTTTGCTGTAGAGAAATTGTTTACCTTTGTGTTGTTTACTTGCCTTCTATCTTCAGATTTACCATGACCTGCAAGGGAACATTCCTCTACCACAGCCAAGGCATTCAGGTGGAGCTAATTGAGCAATTATATTATCAAGCGATAGAAGTAAAAATCTTGTCAACACATTTGATAGATGAAGCAATCTGACTTGTTTTAGTTTGACTTACTGTTACGTAATAGTTATGTTGCTACATAGGTGTGTGCTCTGTGCAAGTCAGGGGTAAACAGCTGTTCTAACATATATGTTAGCTGACATGGAGATCATGACTTCAGTCGACTGACCATAGAAGAAGGTTACAATAGAGGTTTCTGATGATCAACTTTGAATGTGGGGAGTCCATGTAATATAACTTTCCTTCCTGATCCTTTCTTAGAAATCTTCTGTCAGGGTTTGTAGCTGATGCTGCGCTAACACATGAAAAAATACTACCAGTCAGGTGCATTTCGTCTCTTAATTAGATTACTTTGAGGCCCAATTTCTTATTTTGTATCCAAAGGTCATAGCTCTTGTTGGAGAGATCAATTAATACATCAGTGTATCAGATTCAGCATAGAAATGTCATCCAAGCAACGTACAGGAAACCTTTGCATACTCTTTGTTTGCCTTTGCTGCTGGTTAATCTGGATTACTGTTTGCTACCTGTTCCATTTATCTTGCTCAAGAGCTTTAGCAAATGTTTATGGGACATAATGTTCTGTTCCTTTCCCTTTTTTTTCCTAAGAAAATGCAGGCTAACCCCAGAGCAATACCAGGCTGCAAACGTCATGTTGCTGGCTGCACTCTAGTCAGAGGAGTTTCTTTATTGCTGGTGGGGGAGAATAGACAACATTTTTAGGGATGAGAATGACCTGCCAAACAGGGAATGGGCCTTTTAACCATTTTTTGAGTGAGAAATGAGCAGAAATTAGACTACTTTGACTTATCTGAACGAACCAAACAAATTTAATACCAAAGTAAATACCTAGTAAGTAGCAAAAAGCAGGCTAGTGAATAGCAGCAATCTGTTGTTCTTTACTCAAGTGTCCACTAATAGCCTCTTCTGGAAATGGGACACAGGTCTGCTATCTAGTAAGGCTGTCTTCCTTTTAGTAGGAGGGTGTTCAAAAGATCTCCCAAAACCTCCAATGCTGTTCTGTGAACATTGCTTTCCAGTAAACTGATTATTCAATTCTGTTCAAATGCAATTCATATGCTGCCTTGAAAGTGTGGAGCGCTATACAAGTCATTATTGTTACCCTGTGCAAATATAATGCAGAGCAAGTGATGCCTGATAGTTAGCAATGCTTGTTAACACTTGAAATGACAGATCACAATTGCTCATGATGGAGAGTAGGAAACAGTAGGCTAGGAAATGTTTTGTATCTCAGGAATGTTTGTGTCCCGTGATAGGGTGCTGGAACACAGCTGTCAGAGATGGGTTTTTGAGATGGGAAGAAAGTAAGGATGAGATACTAAAAAGCATTATCCCTTTGACTATTTCTAAAATTACCTTTTACCAGGGAAAGGTAAATTGTACTCATCACCCAGCAAATGAATGCAATTTTAGTTCCCACAGGAGAATTTGCTGAGCCATAAACACTTGTCAAGTCAGGATGCACAACTTCTGCTTGTTTCTGTGTTCTGTGGGAGTCTGTACACGTCTGTACTCCTGTTGCTTTGAGGATTCCTCTGGTGCGTAAGACAGACAGGCCTTGAAAGAGACAGTGAGACTCAGAGTGACATAGGGGTGCCTTTTTTTTTCTATTATTTCATCTTTGCCTTTTTCTCTGCCTTGGTGTATGAGAAGAGAGATGCAAGGGGGATGGTTAGATCAGCTCCAGGACCATCCAGGAATATTAATGTGCCTGTCTGTATCTGTTTATACCAAGTAGGCCGTACCACACCCCAGCATCTGTCTGTCTCTACAGTGTAACTGATCATTTGGGATGGCATGTAGACATCCTTGTAGTCTCTGCCTTGTTGGTAGACGCTTTCAGGCAGAATGGGGATGACACCCCCTACCTCTCCTGTCTGACAGGCAGTCTGTATGGATGGAAGAGGCTAAATTAAAAACAGCAGAAGCAGACTTTCTGGTTTTTCTTGATAGCTGGAATAAAGGACAGAAGGGAGCAGTCTGTGCACTGCAATTAACATCAAGTGCTATTGCAACTCATCTTGTAATGCGATATAGATACAATCTCAGCAGAAAATTGAACACTGCACTGAGTCAGAAACACAGAGCAATGCTGAGTTTTGAAGAAAGTAATTAGCCCCAGGGACCTGGTGGTTTCTCATTTCCCCTGTGGTAAACACAGGGAAGTGGAACAGCACTTCCCATAGGCTCCCAAAGTCAATTTAGAGAAGGTACGCAGCCAATTTATAAACCAAAATT